TGAAAATCTGTGGAATGACTTGAAGACTGCAGTCCACAAACACTCACCATCAGATTTGACTGAACTTGAGCAGTTCTGCAAAGAAGAGTGGGCAAATATTGCAAAGTCTATGTGCAAAGATGGTAGAGACAAATCCCAACAGACTAAAGGCTGTAATTTAAAGCAAAAGGTGGTTCAACAAAATACTGACACAAGGGGGTGATCCTTTTTCCAATTCAATTCGGGGTTTTTTTCTTTTTCTTTTTCTTTTCTAACATGGTGTTAAATCTTTCACTTGGATGTTATAAGTTGCACTGAGTAAATACAGCTGGATAAAACCAAAACTGTACTTGTCATCATTTCAGGCTGCAAAGCAACAAAATGTGATCATTGTAAAGTTCTTTTCTATACCAACTGTAGGCCTACGTATTATTTCTTTTATGAATCGGAATGCTCTTAATAATAGATTAATAATATACCTTTTAGATATTGTGTGTATCAAATATGGTAGCTACATCGTTTGTAATATTATTTCGTGTATACAATAAATATTTATTTCGTGAAAAAAAAATCAGATTCGCAAACTGGAATTACCCAGCAAAACTTTTTTCATCAAAATAAAACATAAGCATTCTCTAAGAACGTTATCTTTAGGTTGTTACAAAAACTCCCTGTAACGTTCTAGGTTTGTTTTCGGTTACAAAACCGAGAACGTTCCTAGAATATTATTATAATAATTCCCGAAAAATAACCGTAGCATGCCTATGTGCTAACCTTATGGGAACCTTCTGCTGGGTGAACATGAAATTAACAGTCTGTACTTTGATTTATAGTCGGCAACTCCCTGTAAAATACACCAATAACACTTTTTAGACTCTGCAAGTACAATTTTGGCAGCAGATGGAATTAAATAGCTTAAAATTTAGATTTGGCACTTGAATGTTCCACATTCTGCAGTCTCTAAAAAGAAAAAGGTGAATGAATCACGTGATTCAATTGTGTATGTAACTCCATTCAAGTTTGGGTTTAGACAGTCAGAGCGTTCAAAGCAAAAGGACTCACGACAAAGATTCGGTAAAGCAGCGCGTAATGCTGCTACGGACAACGACGACCACCGCGTTCTACACTGGTTAGCTCTCTGCAGTTATGGAAATGCACTTACCGCACGGCTGAACCTCGGATTTATTTCGCTGCGAGGAAACGAAAAGCAGATTTCACTGTTTGTCCCTTTTAGCAACGCCCACCATGAAATGATGCATAGCCCGCTCGCTGTTATTCATCATGAGTTAGCAAAATTATTTTGATTCAAATATGGATTTATAGTGGTGTGCAGATGTGTAATCTTTATTGCGTATCCTGCACTGAAGGCATGGTCGTCCTATAAGAAATCTAAACGTCCTTTGCTATAATAATAATTATTAAGTGATTTTTTTTAATTGATATCTATTTAAATAAATAAAAAAACATACAGTGTTTGCAGTTATATGTTTTATGTTTGCAGTTATTTATGAAATGACGTGAATTGTAGACATGCATAACGAAGAATCTGTGACTGCTTTTCTTGAGTTTTACTAAGTTTACGACTTTAAATCACTTTTTCAATGGTCCTGTGTTTTGACATGAATTTCTAAAAGTCAAATATTTCATGTATTGCGTCGGCTGCATGCACAATAAAACTCGAAATAATCGTCTCTGTTGACGGTTTGCCACTAGAGGGCGTGCGGTACCTGATTTTGATTTCAGAGAAAGCTCTGGGTCCACTACAAAAGGAGGAAAAGAGATTGAGACAGTTGTTTTTTTCTGTCATACAAACTAAAATTGCTGTTGAGAGATACAAGTCAACACTA